ACTGAGGCCCTTGGAGCGACAGGCCTGACCTGCCGGGCACCAGAAAGTGGGGTGCCTTGCAAGGGGTCGGAGGACAGCTGCGTCCAGCTGGTGCCTCTTTCTTTCCTCCTGCGGGTCGGACTCGGGGTGGCCTGCCACCAAGCTGCACCCGGCCAGCCCTTTGTGTCTGTCTCGAGGTAGGGTCTTGCCAACTTGCCCAGGCTGGGTGAGAACTCGCAGCCCTCTTCTCTCAGCCCCCTGCACGGTCCGGCCAAGGCCTCAGCTGCCTGAGGCCCTGTGGCAGAGCCACGAGGCCCTGTTACTGCCAGACCCCTGATGCGTTCCTGGTAAGTGTGTGTTAGGCTTTGAGCCACAGAGGTCTGGCATGATGCAGGTGCTGAATCTAGGGGAGATTTTGACAAGGAGGGTATTTTAGGATCTTAGAATATCTCCTCACAGATTGTTATCTTCTTTTCTTTCAGTACCAGGGATCGAACTCAGGTTATTATTTTCATTTGCACAATTTATATGTGCTTGAGATGATTTCCAAATACAAAGTTTAAAAGATAATATGACAAAACTATTCCATGGGTTGGAGGAAAACAAGGAGGGTAGAAGATGAAATGTGGCAGCTGTAAGTTGATCATTATTGAAGCTGACTTACCATACAAGGCTGATTGTCCTTGTGACTACTTTTGTACATCTTTATAATTTCCCACAGTAAAAGAAGAGAACGAATAGTGAAGGGGTTGAATCTGGAGATTTCCACATGTCTTTCCATGTAACTCTGACCTTCCGGATGTGGTGGATCATGCACAATCTAAATTTGAGCTCAACCCTTGGTCCGGGTTTTTCCTCCAAACACTGGGGAAAATGGGATCTACTAATAAGTACCCATTACAAATATTAAAGTTGTTAGCATGTATCCTAGCACATACCAATAGTTCAATATACATCAGTAGTAACTTACTGAATGAGTAAATGAACAAAAATATTGATTTCCATCTGGGAGTTAGTGCCTCACGCCTAGAATCCCAGCACTCTGGCAGGCTGAGGCAGGAGGATTCTAACTTTAAGCCTGGCCTGGGAACCTTGGAAACTCAGAGAATGCTTGTCTCAAAATTTTAAAGATGAGGGCTGAGGATTTACCTCAGTGATTCCGCCGCCTGCCTTGCAATCGAAAGGTCCCGAGCTCAATCCCCGGTACCAAAAAAAAAAGTTCTGGGGAATCAAGCTCGGAGTTTTGAAACATTCAGTGAGATGCACACAATGTAATATTTGCCATCTTCACCACTAGAAAGCGCGAAGTTGGGCGTCCACTCCGGAGCTTTCTCACCTCCCAGTCTGAAGCTCCGTGCCCCTTAAAGACTGACTCCCATGCCCTTCCCCGAAGACCCCGGCAGCCACCATTCCCTTCCTGTCTCTGAGTATCCCAGCACGGTAAAATTATGGAACGCTTGTCTGATTGTCACAGGCTTATCTCACATGTCTCAAAGCCTCATTTTCTAGCACGGATGAGTTTCCTTCCTTTTCAAGGTTGAATAATATTCCCTTGGATGCCTCAGCACATTTTTTCTTATCCATTCATCTGCTGACACAGGTGGGTTGCTCACCCCTCAGCCGCTGTGAAAAATGCTACGAACACGGGTGCACACATATCCTGAGTTCCCTTTTTCAGTCGTAAGCCTGGATTTCTGCATTTGTTGCAGAAATTATTTTAAATCTCTCTTACCATGTGGTATTTAACTTGTTTGCGATTTCAACTTCCAAGCACTGGGGTTGCACCCTCGGCCGGACAGCTCGGGGCGGCGGGGCCTCTGGGCGGGAGTCTGCGCACGGGCTGCTCTCCGTGGGCCCGGCCCTCCTGCCTGCACCCGCGGCGCCGTCGCCCTGGGCAGCGGCCGGCCGGTCCGCCTGCGAGGGCCGCCGCGTGATCCCCACCCCGGTCCCGGTCCCGGTCCCGGTCAGTCTCACCCCGGCGGCGTCTCACCATGAAAGCACCAGGCCGGAGCTGCCAGCCCCCTGCCCCTGCGCGGCTGCTCCCTGCTGCCCCTGAGGGGCGGGGCCCCGGCATGCTCGCTCCGGCTTCCTGGGCCTCGTGTCTCAAAATCACCTCTGTTGAGCGCAGCATTCGAACCCGAGCCTCAGAAGCCGTTGGTGCAGGAGCTGCCACAGCCCAGGACGCAGAGGGCGGAGACCCGGGCGGGAGGAAGGGCCGGCCACTCGCAGGGCGGCCTCCCTCACCCTGGCTCTGGGGTGGGACTCGCCTTGACCAAAGACTTTCCGTCTAAAAATGCGTTTGAACCAGGGGCGGTGGCGCATGCCCATCAGCTCAGCTGCTCAGGAGGCTGAGGCGGGGCGATCACGAGCTCCAGGCCGGACTGGGAAACTTAATGGGTCCCTGTCTCACAAAAGGGCAAGGAGGTAGCTCGGTAGTAGGCCCTCACCTGGCCTGCGTGGGCCCCGGATTTACCACCAGCACTGCGAAAAATAAAAATGTATTTGAAAGCCACCAGTCCACCTCCTGGAAGACACAGGCCCAGAGAGCTTTGTTTTGGTACCGGGGATCGAACTTGCGCTTGCGAGGCAGGCGGCGGAACCACTGAGCTAAAACCCCGCCCCCTCCAAAGTATTTTTAAAAACTTTCCCAAGGTCACACAAGGATCCAGGACTATTCTGGCTTCATCTTTTAGGGGCTCTCTGTCCGCAGAAATTCTCTTTGGGAATTTAGGGAAACGAAGACAGTAACAGGCTTTGAGACGCAACGGGAGGAGGTTCAGAGAGCCGCTTTCTTCTCCTCCTTTCCTAGCTGCTTCCACACAGCTGTGAAGAACAATCTTTGTGAACAACACACCTAGCCAGGATGATGGTACAGGCCTGCAATCCCAGCTTTCTGGGAGGCTGAGGCAGGAGGATCACAAGTTACAGCCTAGCTTGGGAAACAGTGACTTAGTGAGACCCTGCCTCAAAACAAGTTTTTACTCAGGATTTTGCACTTGCCAGCCGCACCACTGAGCTAAATCCTGGCCCACAAAAAAGATTTTTAAAGATGTCCTGGGGTTGGAGCTCAGGGCTAGGCCCTGAGTGCCGCAAAAGCACATCACATCTCCTGTGGCGAAAGCCTTGGCTCCCATTGCTTGACCTGACCCCGAGTCCGACCCGTCCCGACCCGACCCGTCCCGTCCCGTCCCGACCCGACCCGTCCCGTCCCGTCCCGACCCGTCCCGTCCCGACCCGTCCCGTCCCGACCCGACCCGACCCGTCCCGTCCCGTCCCGTCCCGTCCCAGGGTCTTGAGCACCGGCCTGCCCTCCCCGACTCCGCCCTCAGGAGGAGGCGGGTTCCTGGGTCAGGCGCTCCTGGGAGCCAGGCTGCGGTTTGTGGCCCGAGGTGGTGCTGAATGGAGCCCCAGCTGGATGGGTCCCCAGCACCACAGGAGATTCGCGCTCAAGGTCGCACCCCGCCTTCCACGCCCTCAAAAGGTTAGCCCAATACGGTTCCGGTCTTCCTGAGAGGCGGGGTCCCAGAGACTTCGTGACGGCGACGGATAGTGGACCGAGACAATCCTCCAGTACGGTCTTTAGAAAGAAAACGCTCGGTATCTAACAGACCCACTCGCTCATTACTAACGGTGGCCTTGGCGATGTGGGTGGGTAACGCAGGGCTTTGCTTTTAGGGATTTGTAAGAACTCTCAGTTGTCCTGAAGGCCAAGCACCCAGACCAAGAAGCCTCACTGCAGGGGCAGAGGGCGCCAGACTCAAGCTGAACAGCTCCCCGGGGGTCTGAAAGCTAAGAAACCCCCGTGCTCCCGTGGCGCGGCGGCAAGGCGCCCCTCTTTCGTGTCCAGACAACCTGTCTTTCTGTACGCAGTGCTGGGCAGGGCGCTGAGCTCCAGGCGAGGACCCGTCCCGGGGCAGCAGCTGCTCGCTCAGATGCCGGCGGGAGATCCAGGCCTCCGCAGTCGGCCACAGAGGAGGACAAAGCGGAGTCACTTGTGGGACAACGGATGCACCTTGAGGCCGGTACGCGAACTAAATCAGACGCACATGCTCAAAGATCACACGGTTTCTCATTATGAGAAACCCAAGATGCGGATAAAGAGCAAAATAAACGGTCATGAGAATGGGAAGGAAATCAAGAGGACAGAGAGAATTAAGATGTGTTATGCACATGTACCAACTCCCCACAAGGAGTATAAATCTGAGTCCTGTTTCCGCGTCTTCTTCGGATGGCAGTGGCCCCCGAGGCACATACTCCTGGGATGGGGGAAGAACACAGCCAGCTCCCCTCCTGCCCCAGGGGCCTGCCTGGTCTGTCTACGCAGGCCCAGGGGAGGACGGGCCGCGGGGAAGCTGGACAGGCCAGGTCTGCCGCGGTGGACGCCGACCGCAGGTCACCTTCCACAGGGCCGCTCGGCCACACCCGGCCATCACGCTCCTCCCGATGCTGCGCTGCGGGCTCAGCGCTGAGCAAGCGCTGCTTCCTGCGGTGGCGAGGCCCAGCCAGGGCAGGTCCTCAGGAGGGAGGGCGTGTGGCGCAGCTCCACTGTCCCTGCGTCCTTCCTCAGCTCCAGGGCTCTCACCACCTACATCAGAGCGCCGGGGACTTCCGCTCCGGCCTGTAGGGTCACTGCAGGACGCACACATTCCGGGGTCACAGGCGTGTTTCTTGCACAGGGGATGGGGTACGGAAGACGACGTGCGAGTCCTCAGTGGAAATGTCGGGGCCGTTGTCAAGCGTATCCCGGGCAAACAAGGGGTGCCGCGGCTCTCGGGGCTGCCCATGGTGCGCTAAGCCATCGAGGTAAGAGCCATCTCTTCCGCACTTTGCGCATCACTGCAACCTCAGGGCCCCACGGGAGCGCCGGGGGTTCTTGGGGATATCGCCACCCGAAAGCCAAGACACCCTGAGCAGGTCCGAGGAGGCACCAGCCCGCACAGGCGCACGCAGCACAGAGGGCAGCTTCATTCTGTCCTCTTAGATACAGTATAAGTTTTACAATCCAGTATGATTAGATGTGATCTGTGATTTTAACATTTAATGACAACAAAGAACAAATTATAATCCTAGAGCAAAAAAACAACAACAACGAAAACCTTTCTGATCAAAACATATGCCGCAGCTAAACTTCCTTAGAAACAGTTTGTAGAAAGCCTTGAAACTCAAACATTTAACCTATATTTTTGTGACCACTAGGTACGTTCATCAACTTATTAATCAAATGCTTCCTAAATTTAGGAACTGATGACCAAGTGGCTTAAAAATGTAAATCTTGATCTTATTTTTCCAGCTATAAAGTAGTAATATTTTGCAAAAACAACAAAATATTTAAGCAAAGAAGCTTTTTGAAAACTTCCATGACCTTTTCTGGCTCAGTACCTGACTGAAATGTTCAGAAGTTTATATTGCACAGAAAAAAATTTCAGCAGCATACCATGTGTGAGAAGCTGATAAAAAACAAGACTGGGAAAACCCTCTAAATTTACATGATTTAAACATACAGTTTCTATATCGTTAATTAGTATAAGTAAAAAGGTAAACTTTTGAACAGCACAGAAATACAAATGTATTTAGAAGTTTACAAAATATACCCAACGCTTAGACGTGGTCTTTTAATGTGGAGCCACCACACAAGGGAGCTCGCCTCCTTCGTAATGGACACAGGAAGCCAAGTGCAGCTACAGGTATGGAAAGAATAAAGCCGCACGCCTCCTTCTGTCTCGGGAAGGCTGCACATTACAGAACGCACTTCCTGCGCCGAGAAGCCTGAGGGGCTGGAACGCCGTCACGCCGTGAGTGGGAAGCCCCGAGCGGTGCACCAACCCGACCAGAGCGCAGGCGAACCCTGACGGCAGTCCCCACGCCCTGCAGGGCCACCGGCCTGCGCTAGGGACAGGGACGAGGGCTGGAAAAGGGCAAATGGGTGGAACTCTCCCAAAAGTTTTCTCCACAGAACACAACACTGCAGCAACACCTGCCTGCCAGGGAGGCACTACCTCAGCTTCATATAGAAACTTGAAGCCAGCAGACTAAAATTCCAACTTCACTCTAAAGAATTCTCTCAGCAGATTAAATACTGCTCTCAAAATGCTCATTCAGACTTTAAGTACCTTGTTCCTCAGCCATGAAACAACTCACCTCTTCCTCCTCCTCATCTGCTTTCTCTGTGGCTTTCTGAAGGAAGTTACTCTAAAAACATTAAATGCTTAGTAACAGAGCTTGGAAAGCAGACACCCGAGGAAACGACATCCTACGCTCCGGTTTGCTGCCAAAGAAAAAGAGCTGCTGTAACGTAAAGCAAAAATCAATGAGAACTATTTTAGGGGTCGGGGGCCAGTGAATCAGGAGGGGACCTGGGGACAGATTACTCCCACTGGTCCCAGGAGGCACGCACATAGGCAAGGTCACGGGAAGCCCTTGCGATTTGCAGCTGCCTCTTGCCCTACTCCACGCCTGTAGCCGTACCTCCTCCTCCTCCGTGCCGCTGTCGTTAGGGTGCCTAAAGGAGTATGCACACCGGAGTCTTTTTCCAAATGCTACTTTTAAGTTGTGTGGGCAGCACGGAGGCTACTGACAGGCTGCAGATGTGCCCGCCTACCTGCAAAGGCTGGGCCTAGTCAGGCAGTTCTTGGACGCAAGTCCTCAGGGATCACAGCAGAAAGCGAGGCCCCAACAGACCCCCTTTCTGGTGATGTCACAAGATGGCCCGTGACTGCCGCTAGCCCAAGGCGTGTGGGCTCGCAAGGGCCAGGCACCCTGCCCTCAGCAATGGCCTCAGAACTTCCCTCTCCCACGAAGCACAGGTGGGTCTCGACAGCACCTCTCTTCTGAGGTGCTCATTTTATGCTGAACGCCGAAGTGTCCACTTTGAGAATTAAACAACTAAAAGTATGAGTAGAAGACTCAAAATACACATTCAAATGGAGAACCAGTGAGCAAAATGTAATTTCATGTGACTTTGTGGATTAAAAGCTATCGGCAGGACTGCTTCTGAAGAGACGGGACTCCACCCCAAACACCAGTCCGGTACCAGTGGAAGGGTCCTCAGCCTCTTGGCTGGGTGGGCCCTAGGGGGCGCTAGGCCACACGTACAGCAAGCTGCTGGCCCGAGGGGCGACAAGCACACCGGAGCACACCACCGCACTCCAACCTTCGGTGCAGCCCTGGGATGATGGTCTCAGCACAACCTAGAGAACCTTTCAGGGTTTCCTGCTGTTACTTAGGAGGGAATCAATGGGGTTCTCATGGTGAGCCCTCACTGTATCCGCTGAGTTTCGAGTTATTATGCTCAAACAGAAGCATGCTTTTAGGTGTGCTGGAGTTGTGTTCAAACACAAATTAGGAAACTGAGAGGTTCAGATTACGCCCTATGTTCACTTCGCATGCCTTAGGGTTACTACTCACTCACAGTAACTGTTTCGTACAGGATAAAGCCAACGTAACCTGGAACCCCAGCATTCCTTACAGACAACAGGTGACGCTGGCACGGGACTTCTCAGAGAACAAACCCGCCCTGAAGCAGAAGCCCCACGCCACTCCCGCCGGCTTGCAGTGCTTGGGAGTGAAAGGGTCAGTGTGCTTTGTGGACCGGCAACAGAAATCCCAGAGCTCAAACGGTTTACGGCCCTTTACCTTGATAAGCACATTTTACAGTTAACATTGGAGAAATTAGGAATAGTAATATAACTTAATTTTAGCAAATGTAAATTATAACAGGCATCTATATATTCAGACTGCAAAACAGAACAAAATTTACATACACATTTTTCTCAAGTGAACAGATGCACAATCTCAGAACTTAGGAATCACTGGAAGGTTCACTGCGAGTCTCCGGCTCAGAATGAAGGGAAAGTGGTTGACCTGGGGTCCCCGAGTGTCCCCGCCGTGGCCGGGCTGCCTCCTCAGCGCCTGCAGGCTCCACACACAGCGCACCTGCCCAGGCCCGGGTGGCCAGGGGCACTCACACCCGGAAAGGACATGGCCTCTGGCTCGGCTCAGGGCTTCCCATCGGGGGGCTCGGGGAGACTCTGAGGGGCAGAGGCGGTGAAGGTTGAAAGCCATGAGGACATCGCTGTCTTCGCACTGGAAAAAGCTCCTCCAACTGACTGGCCTGGTAGGAAGAAGAGGAAAAACCATGTGAATATGTTACGGAACTGCGAAAGAGGAGGGTTTATCAATAAATGGTAACCCCCCCCCCATATGTTAGTTAATAAAACAGTGAATTTTCTAATTTCAAAATAGTCCCTGTCCCTTTCCATAGCAAACAGGACGGCTCCTGGTGTCGGAGCCCACTCTCGTCATCTGAGGAGTTCATCGATCTGTGCTAGCAAGGCTGGCTGTGCTTGAGAATTACCCGACTGCTTAAGAAGCTAACACTCTCTGGACCTTAAACACTGAGCTGATGACCAACTCCACCTGCACAGGGAAGCGAGGTTAAGCAGTCTGGGAGAAGTTTGGCTTTAGCATCTAAAACTGCTACATTGAAGCCATACAGCACTCGACCTGGCTCGGGTCTATTTTGTTCTAAAGAACATCTCAAAAGTTGAGGCTGTCAGAACCGGGGATGGAGCTCAGTGGTTTTGCCGCCTGCTGCGCAAGCCCGAGGACCCGAGTTTCGCCCCCAGAAAGAAAAAAAAAAAGTTGAGGCTGTCAAATTATACAAATTGAATCTACTCTTACGCAGAGGAACGTGGGAGAACGTGGTCTTAGGGTTTAATGCTGGCAGCAGCACCCCTGAAACCCGGGCACAGCAGTCTTCCCTTCTGCGTGGTTCCACTTTCCACGGGTTCAGTTACTTATGGTATGAAAATATTACATGGAAAATGCCAGAAATAATTTCTAAGCCTTAAGCTGCACGCTGCCCTGAGCAGGTGGGGTCACTGCCTGCCTGGCGCCTGCACTGAGTCCTTTCCTCGTGGCCCTGAGGTGCAGGCCGTACTCTGCCAGGACCCCGACCGTTGGGGCTGCCTCGTGCCCGGTCCAGGGCAGGAGCAGTGGTGCTGCCCTGGACTGGCAGAGTGGGGCCGGCAGGCGCTCCTCGCGTGAAGGGTGGAGGTGCCAGAGCTTCTGAGAGGATCACACTCAACTCACTTTCATTATAGCAACCCCACAACACAGTAAATAGCTTTAATACAGTAGACAGTATTTGTACCCGGGTTCCATTTTAACATTCTTATTAATTTCTTACTGTGCCTAGCTTGTAAGTCAAACAAATGAAAAATATTGTGACAAGATTTTAGATTTTGTATTCCATTTTATTTGCAGAGCATTGCAGATTTTCTGTTTCTTACTGCACTGGTTTTGTAATTTGAGTCTTTCAAATAATTTTTATATTTTATCTACGTTGTCAAATTTGTTGGCATAAAATTATTTACCATACCCCCTAACCTTTTAATTTCCGTAAGATCTGTAGTGATGTCCCTTCTCTTTTTTTGGTTTTTTGAGACAAGATCTCGCTATGTAGTTCAGGCTGTACTTGAACTCATGGCAATCCTCCTGCCTCAGCCTCCTGAGTTCTGGGATTCCAGGCTGGTGCCACCACACCCATCCGCCCTTCTTCATTCCTATGGTGGTCATTGTCTCTTCTCTATCAGTTGATAGAAGTTTTATAAATATTGATTTTTAGGGCTGGGGATTTAGCTCAGTGGTGCCGCGCCTGCCTTGCAAGTGTGAGGTTCTGAGTTCAATCCCCGGTAGCAAAAAAAAAAAAAGGAAAAATATAGATTTTTAAAAAATCAACTGTAGTTTTGTTAATTTTCTTTATTGAGTGATACTACCTTAGCAGACAGCAGCTCCTCTGGGCTACTCTATTATGAGAAGCTGCTGTCTATAAAGAACCAGTGCAGCCCAATGACCAGGGAAAACTTCTCATGAGGCTTCAACCAAGCTGGGAACAGAAAGTGCACTTACTGGGATATCTGGCTACTATCCCTCAGATGCATGAAATTATCTGCTATCACAATAACTTGTTAAACAACACAGAGTTTTATTATGTGATGCAAAGATTTCCACAACCATATCCTTTTATCAATTACATGCTGAGAACAAAGTGGGTCTGTAGGACTTGGGTCTGCTCCTAGCTAACGGCAGGCCTTACCCACAGCTTTTCCTGTTTGTACCACATTCCTGCTGGTTGTGACCATGGCGTTTCCAATTTTTTTGCCACGTTCACTATTCTGAACAGAACTGAATAAAGGAGAGAAGTGTTAATACAACTGAAAAAACATCTTACACACGCATGCCCATACATTAACCACTCTACAACCACCCCAAACCAGAATTACTGAGAGGATGAATTATTATCTATTATGAAAATTGATTTATGAATCTTCTAAAGGTATATTCAGAATAGAGTAAAAAAATGAAGATGAACCAAAAAGCGGGGAGGACATAAGTATGGTTAAATCTCCTCGAAAGACATGGTTTGCTAAGGCATTTCACCCAAATACTGGCAAGTCCTGCTATTAGTTCACACCATTCTATGGAACAGGACTGTTTTTACTTGAAACACACACGCTGCCGAGCTAGAGAATGTTATGCACATATGTGGTTACTATTTGAAGCACAAGTCTATTAGGGAAACGAAATTCCTAATCAGCAGCGAAACACACGGCATAAACTCAGAAGAACTTTCCTTGTGTTTTTCCTAAGTACTCACTGTGAGAATCTTAACTTCATGTCTGACATGGAGTACTGCCCTTGAAATGGATGGCTGTAAAACAAAAAGTGTGAGCTTAGGTTATGAGCGGTTTTTAACCAGTAAAGCTGTGAGGAGTTGGCACAGGAAAAGTATGAGTACATCCCTCAGGGGCACACAGCTCAGTGGCTGTGCTGATTTGCTGTAAGGAAATGAGGCTTGGATCCCAGCGTTCTGCTTATGCTCCGCGAGTCAGAGTGCACTTACCCTCCTGACGTTAGTCTCCTCCCTGTTAGAGTGTGAGCGTGCATGTGAGTGTGTGTGTCAGTACCATCCCGACACTCTGGCCTACTGGCTTGAGGGTGGGGGCACAAGTATCAACATTTCTTTTTCTTTTTCTTGAGACAGGACCGCTCTTGTCCAGGCTGGCCTCAGATTCCAGAGCTCAAGTGATCTTTCCACCTCAGCTTCCCAAGTAGCTGGGTCTACAGGTCTGTGCACTGCGCCTAGGCATCAGCAGGTTAAAAGCTTCCTAGAACAGTCAGGGAAGTCACTGATTTAGTTAGGTCATGGTCATGGACTGCATCTTGATCCTGCTCATCTTGCAAGTGTGGAGTACTGGTCATGAAGAGAATTATGGATGGACCAGAAAAGTCCACATTTTGTCCAAAAAAAGGAGAAAGAATAAAAGCAACTCAATATGCAGTTCTTAGCTGGGTGTAGTGGCACATATCCGTGGTCCTAGCATTTGGGAGGCTGAGGCAGGAGGATCACTGTGAATTTGAGGCCAACCTGGGGTACACAGTGAGACCTTGCCTTGAAAAAAAAAATGCAGTTCTTAAAAGTGGTGCTATCATTTAGTAGGGAAATTCATTAGTTTTACTTCCGCACGTTTATTACATGAAAAGAAAAAAACAATTATTAAAAAAACAAACAAATGGGACCAAATGGGTTTGCTTTAACCTATGGCTGAGGTCGGCCTGGGCAGTACAGTGAGACTGCATCTCACAAGTGCAAGTGCAAGGTCCAGAGTTCGATCCCTGGTACAAAAAAAAAAAAAAAAGAACCAAAAAACCCCCACCATTTAAAGTCCGTGCCCAGTCGATCCCCTTCGCCTCGGCTGCCTTACACACACCCGGATGCTACTCTGCAGCCGCATCAGTGTAGTGTGCCTCTTCTGCCCCTGCAGAGGGAAGCCTCTGTCCAATCAGCATCCCAAGAGCAGTGTGCGAGCTGTGTGCAGTGCGAGGTATGACGGCGCTGCCTCCAGGCTTCTCCCTGGGCGAGCACTCTGCTGAGGCAAGGCTCAAGGAAAGGGGGCAAACCATCACGGCAGCACCACTGGGTGGCAGTAGCTGCCCTCTGAACTGTGCCCTGTGCTTTCTGTGTAGAACTTTAGAATACGAGAGCTGTTTTTACCTTGCTTCTCTTTCTAACCCACTTACAATGATTCTTGAAGAAGCTCACAGTATCAAAAACAAGACTCTCTTTGTTTTGGGCCTTGGTAAAGCAACCGGTTTATGTAGTGTGTCTACTGGTCTCCAGAAGATGCGCTTACTTGGGGTTTATTTCTGCAAGTGCTGGGTGCTTGTTGCTGTTCCATACCCTGTAGTTGTGAGTATTCTTCCACGCTGTAACAAAAGTGGTCCCGTAGTCCGACAGTATCTTTTCACTATCTGTCAAGTAAACATTTGAAAGAAGTTGAGCTGGACCGTGCCATTCAGGGATACGAAGGTTAACAACCACAAAGGGGTACAGAATGGCTTTATCCACCCAACCTCCCAGTTTTGTTTTTTTTTTTTGAGAGATAGCCTACCAGATGTCAGGAAACTTGTGTCTAGTTCCAGAAATCCTGTTAAGAAGCTATGTGGTCTTTGGCAAGTCACTTAATCACTCAGAACTTCATTTTCCTAACTGGAAAATAAGAGGGTTGAGCCAGATATTTTCCAAGGTTCCTCACAACTCCAACATGTTTCCATGGTCATTTTGATGTTGGGGAAGACCAGAAGTCACACGGTGGTAGATCCGGTGAACAAGGTGGAGGAGGACACACTGTCAACTGTCATGCTTTTACCAGCCCACCTTTCTGCTAAATACCACTTGGTAGCAGCATTCACCATATTTTTGATCACACTTCATAAAGACACTCATGAAAGGCTTCCAGAACTGCTTCAGAAAGTGGGAAGAACTGTGGGATGTGTGTGTTTTTAATTGATGGGGAGCATTCTGAGGGCTCATGGTAATGCGTCTTACTGTAATAAATTTTAAACATTTACTGTACACTTTGATCATCCCTTGTGTATTGATTACATGTTGCTCTGAAGGCACAATAAGGTACTGTCTGTGGCTGAGAAAGGAAGAGTAAGAAATACACAGTTTCATCTCTAACACAAAAGTGTTCTTCTAAGAACGTCTCTCTTAGCAATTCATTGGGCTCAATTTTCTCGCGATCAGGTAAGGGTATGGCCTGAGCCAGACTGGGTTTAGATGCTACCTCCGCTTCCTAACCACCTCGATGTGCAAGCTACGAAGCTTCCTGCTGCTCACTCTCTTCCCTACCTTGGGGAGGACAGGGACCCACCTCCAGGACTGATGAGGATGGAATGAATTACCAAGTGTAAAGTGCCTAGAAGAAATCCCTACATATTTTAAATGATAAAATAAAAAGCTAGCTAATATTATTATTCAGTGTGTTTTGGGCTCCGGAGAGATATTTTACAAAGGTAAATTAATTACTCTTGAAGCCAAAGACACTTTTTTGGTAGACTGCTGAAAGAACCTGGGTCAGATTATTGATGCAGCAGAAATTATCCCACTAAGAATGAGGACTTGGTTGTTAGGTTCCCTTTACAAATGATGAACATAGCCAAAGCCTGGATTTTAAAAATCCATATATAAATATATATCACATGGAGAGCCAACCTCAGAGGTGGTGGTGGTGGTGCTGATTTAAAAACCTGCTGCCAAAACACTGGGAATGCACTGAATGCCACTATGGAATTATATATTTAAAAACGTTAAGCTTGGCATGGTGGTGCATGCCTGTAGCCCCAGCACTCCGGAGGCTAAAGCAGGAGGACTGCAAGTTCCAGCCCAGCTTAGGAACTTAGTGACTTGGTGAGACTCTGTCTCGAAGTAATATAAAAAAGGGCTGAGGCTGGGTGTGGTGGCACACGCCTGTGATCCCAGCACTTGGGAAGCTGAGGCAAGGGGACTGCCTCGAGTTCAAGGCCAGCCTGGGCTGCACAGTGTGTCTAAGGACAGCCTGAACTGCATAACGAGACTCTGTCTCAAAATCAAAACCAGAAAGGGCTGAGGATATAGCTCAGTGTGAGAGCCCCGAGTTCAATCCTCAGCTCCACAAAAACAAAACAAAAAAGGCCAGATGGTAAATTTTGTTATGTGTATTTCTTCACAATTTAAAAAAATAGTGGCAACTGAAGAGAGAAAAACTCAAGCTCAACATTCTTTTATTAACAACAGCAAAACTACCGAGTATCTGCCAAACATCTAAGGTTGAAAAGCTCATTGCAGAACTTCAATTTCACTTTATATGCAGCTCCTAGAGCAATTACTTTTAACATGAGTTAATCTGTTTTCCTTGCCCCAGTTTAGCCATTTGATAGGCACAAGAATATACCTTAGATTGGGTATAAATTTGAAGGTTTACTCACTCAGAATGTTTTTTTCACTGAGTGACAAAAATCAGTATTTACTGTCTTCATATAGGCTTGTGTTTCTATTATAAAGTAAGAAAAAGTAAGTTTCAGAAAACACATTTAAAGAGATCCAGCTTTGCAAAAGGAGTACCAGAGACACCGTGGGAAACAGACATGGTGTGCAAATCCAAAATACATGCAAAGCAAAAGGTCTGGAGGGACACAAAGTACTCAAAGTATGAAGAATCTCTGTATGAGGAGCAGTGGGTTTCTACAGTAAGTACGTGGTTGTGGAGCTGAAAGCATCATGGATGTTACAACAGGATGGTGGCAGTGTACCCGAGTCTCACCTAGACGCAGCGTGGCAGCCAGGAGGGCATGGGTGTAGACAGCAAACTGGGCCCGGATCCACTCGTCGCCTCCCTCCCAGCCAGTGCCATCGAGGAAGACATCGTCCCGGTGGTCAGTCACGTGCCTCACCAGGAAATCTGCAAACCTGAGGTCCGCGGTGGTCGGGTGAAGCAGCTTCCTGAGCTCGGGGTCCTGGATCTGGATCAGAGCTTCCTCGACCTGAAGGGCACGTGGTGCAGGTCAGTCTGGGCAGAGGCAGCTGCCCACGCCACCTGCTAGGAGCACCTACTGGGAAGCTGGAGCCGGAATAAAGAATGCGAATAACAGCACTCCAAGGGCTGAGTCTAAGAAAGAGACAGGCTGTCACACTAAAGCTTTTTTCGTTTTGCATTTTAAAAAAAAGTTTATTTTCTGTGTTTTAGAAAAAATATGTATATATACATTATTTTTTTTTTTCGTACTGGGGATAGAACTCAGGTCCTTGTGCTTGTGCAGCAGGCGGCCAAACCACTGAGCTAAATCCCTGGCCCTAAACACATTATTTTGAATTATAAAAGTAATTCATGCTGATTGCATTCTGGAAAATAGATACATGTACATACAATAAAATCACTTTTATCTCACCCACAGAAATGAATTTAAGTATAAAGTTTTCCTTTTGAATACATACTTTAGAATATTTTTGTGATATACAGAGAAATATATGTAGCTTACTGCTTTGTTTTTTGGTTTTTTTGGGTACCGGGGATCGAACTCTGCGAGGCAGGCACGGTGCCACTGAGCTAAATCCCCGGCCCTGCTTACCACTTAGCTCTGAAGTAAAATAATAAACACCTGAGCCTGCTCCAGCTTCCCCACTGGCATGGACCAAAGTTGTCATCTGCACCTCCTATCCTGCATGGTGTATATGTTTTTCCTTCCTCAAATTTGAGATCAACATAAATATAATTTTAAGTCTTGGATTTTTCATTTCCTATATTATAACCATTTTCCCATAAACTCTGTACTTTGTGTCAGAAACTACAAAAACCTTGGTGCAGCTAAAATTTTTTTTTAAAAAAAATTACTTCAATTATAAAATTAAACTATTTAAAATTTTAATATACTAATACGATGTCAAGTAGGTACTCTTAGCTTTGTGAGTATTAAGAGAACACTAAATAGGCTAGAAGGATTCAAAGTGTTTGAGTGAGCTCACGGCAGGCTCACACTGCTCGGTAGGTCCTTGGCTACCTGTGTCCTAGGCGCCTCTGCTTCCTCGGATGTACACAGAACAGCAGCTCTGCCTACTAGTCCCTCTCCCTCACTGCCCCCTTGAAGGGCTATTACGAAAATTCAAAGGTTCACGTACACAAAGCGCTTGGGACACCCGACCCACCAAGCAATTATTACCCTACTATTACTGTTGTTGTTGTATTTTCATAACTACATTTCTGAAAGGAACAAAGGGGCCAGCAGGGCCGAGCACATGCGCTCCGACATAAACATACTTCCACAATGGCATCACTGAGGTGTTTCTGTTGTCGGAAAAGGATGTTAGTAGCTCCAGCAACGAATCCCCGAACGGTGACATCAGAGAGAAGGTGGTGCTGCTGCAGGGCCATGTAGGGCAAGCAGAGATATCCCTAGGGGTCACAAGAGCACCAGAAACATCAGCAAGGGAAGAAAGCTACGGCAGCAGAGGCAGTGAGTCTGGTTTCTAACCAGCTGATCTTCTGTACGAATGGCCAGACACTGGTGAGGTGGTTTAACATGAAGCTTGTTTTCCCGGACCACTTTGTTTTTGGTTCAATGTTAGACCCTCTACAGTAATGAACTGGACTTTAACATTGAGAAAACAGTTAAGCCCTTTAAAAAGTACCGTATGTTGTTTAGTAGAAAACTTAAACACATGTATCTCTACATAACTTCCAAAATACTACTACAAGAACAGCAAAGCACTGCACTGTTTTGCTCTATTGTTAAAAACCATGCAAGGGGCGGGGAATTAGCTAGGTGGTTCCGGAGCCTGCCTCGAAAGAGCAAGGACCCGAGTTCGATCCCCCGTACCAAAAAAAAAAAACCATGCAAAAATATGTCAAGATATTTGCTTCTAGTTAAAGGAAAAATGACACTGGCAGTAATTATGGGCACACCACCACACCGGCAGGAGACATTTTTTTGAGGCAGGGTCTTGGTTTGTAGCCCAGGCTAGCTTCAAATTCTTACCACTTCTGCCTTGGCCTCCCAAGTGCTGGGATTGTAAGTGTATGGGAGGCACCAAATCTGGCAGAAAGATTTTTTAAAATCTTGTTTTTTGGTGCCGGATACCAAATCCCGTGTGCTCTCAGCACAACCTCTGCCGCTACGCTACACTCCCTGCCACAGAGACATTTTATCATAGATGCTCTGGAAACTGACTGTTGGACTATGTGGCAGTATTTCATGTTTATAAACTGTTCAAACAGCAGTCCTCAGAATACTTTTAAAGCTTTGCCACCCATCTGATCCGTTCAGCTTGTTCTCTAATAGCCCGAAGGCACAGCAGTGGAAGAGCACAGGCCCCTCACAGGAAGCAGCCTCCACACCCAAGCCCTTCCTGGCTTTCCACTCTCCTAGGACAATTTCACCTCCACACTGGAAACTGCAGTGTACAGTGGTTAAAAAAGACAAAACACAATAACACAGAAGAAGGACCGAGCACACATCACCGTGATGTTCACCCGCAGGTTCTGCAGTTTTGCCCATGGTAGCTGGGAGGGGCAGCAACCCCAGGGCCCAGTGGAGAAAGAGTGGAGGAGGCTTCTGCACACTGCAGCTCCCGGAGCTGCTGCGCTGAAGGGCGTGAGGGCATGGTGACACCCAGAGAACACGTGGACCAACTATGGCTTGGCTTTCTCTGCCCAGTCTGAGGACGGCAGGTCTGGCACTGCAGTCTCCCTAGGCCAGGGGCCGACTCTGACATGCATCTGTGGCTTTAGGTGGAATCCCTACCCCGAACCTCCACCCACGTGTCCATGTGGAAGTGCAATGAGCTAGGAGACTCCTGAGGGGCAGCAGCAAGCCAGGAGGACTTCTCCATGGCAACAGCACTGCATGTGGACCACTCTCGGGCGTACAGACAGACGCACACAGAGCGGAAGCCTGCAGAACAGGAGCCCTGCCCAGCCTCACGCAGGAATCCGCTCCGGCCAGATCAATTTGAAATGTGAAAGGCAAAACTGCAATGCTTTGCAAAACTAAGAGAATGTTTTGAAGACCTTGAGGTAGGGCACCATTGTTTTATTTTGGTACCGGGGATTGAACTCCTGTCTTTGTGCTTACGAAGCAGGTGGCAAAACCACTGAGCTAAATCCCTGGCCCCAAGGCACAATTTTTAAAAACAAGACTCTCAAGACACTGACATAAAATAAAAATTGATAACTAGAAAAGATATCTGGAAGTTCCACAAGTCAGCGACAAGCAGCAGAGCAATGCAACAGAACAGAGGACACTGAAAGAACCCATGAAACTCTGGTCATCTGATCCCTGACAGAGAAGCCAAAAATGCACATGGAGAAAAGTCGGCCTCTAACAAATGGTGTTAGGAAAACTGGATATCCACACGTAGAACACTAAAACTAGACACTATCTTTCACTGCCTACAAAAATCCACTCAAAATGGATCAGAGTTAATGTATAGGACCTGAAACTTTGAAGCCACCAGGGGAAAACATAAGGCAATCATTTGATGTCACAGACACAGGTAAAAAGACTTTCCGCGTGGCATGCACACAAGTAACAGCAAGAATTTAAAAAAATGGGCTTAGAACAAATTAAAAAGCTTCTACACAGCAAAGGAAACAACAGTGAAGAGACAACCCACATACTACAAAAATCTTTGACAGCTCCTCTTCTGACAGAGGATTAATATTCAGAATATATAAAGATACACAGAAAAGTTAATACCAAAAACCCAAACAGGAAAATGAAGTGAACAGACACTTATCAAAAGTAGTACAAACAGTAAATGCAAATCAAAACTATAGTGAAATATCATCTCACCCCAGTCAGAATGGCTATCATCAAGAATACAGGGCTGGACAGTTTGTTAATAGTTAAAGGTTGGAAACAGCCCAAGTGCCTATCAATTGGAAATTGGATAAAGAAGATGCGGTTTTTTTTTATAAAATGGAGTACTACTAAGCCATAAAGAATGAGAAACTAGAGACATTTATAGCTAAATGGATGCATATTGAGGCCATACTCTTAAGTGAAATAAATAAGACACATGTGTAAATACCGAATAGTTTCTCTGGTCTGAGAAATTGACAGTGTAAATAAGGACTAAAAGGATTAATAACTAATAATTGATACTTTGAAACAGGAAAAGGTCCAAAGGGGTAGGGGTGGTGGGAGGGGTAGGGGTGGTGGGAGGGGAAGGGGAAAGGAAAGGAAGGAAAGGAAAAATTATGAGAAAAGGAAAAAATGGAAACAAAGCTTTTGTAAATAGGGAAGGGTGGGGGGGGTGAAGGGAGGGCAGGTAATGGGGAAAAAAATAAGAACCAAGATACATCATGTACAGGTACAAGACCCCAAAGATAAATGTAAACATATTATATACCTGAAGTGTACCAATAAAAGAATTTAAGGAAAAAAAAAGAATACAGGGCCGGGGATTTAGCTCAGTGGTTCCGCTGTTTGCCTTGAAAGCTCAAGGTCCCGAGTTCGATCCCCCGTACCAAAAAAAAAGCATGCAACACTCAAAGTTACATTTTAGGTCCTCAACAAAGGCAGTAACACCTTACCTTTGTGAAGATGGCCAGGGGCATGCCGTACTGGTCCTCCTCCAAGCCTGAAACGAGTCCTGGTGTCAGTACCACTTGGCCTGTGTTAGCCTGAGGCTGTACAGTGATGGGAGGGCTGTCTGAGAGCACTGAGTACTTTGGAAGCAAGTCTGTCTGGTCTGACCCCACCTGTCCCCTTTCTTCCGAACTGGGCTCCTCTAAGGTACCAGGGTCCAAGGTTTCCCAGTCACTTTCTGAAGACTCTGGAGATGGACGAGGTGGAGGTTTCAAATGCTGACTGGTGTTGTCTGGTTCCTGTCTTTCCCTGTGCTCTGCTCCATGGAGCAAAGGCTCCTCAGTCTCAATGGCAGCACCTCCTCCATGGTTTCCTGCCACAATTCTCTTGGCAGTTCCCAGACTGGCCTTTGAAAAGTCCGCAGCAGAGCCTGACCCAGGAAGAGGGTCATCTGCAGGGAGATCACTGTCCGGAAGCCCAGCGTCTTCAGAGGTGCTTTTTCGGGGTCTGTACTGCGAACAGTCACGGAGACCATGCTCAATCATGCCTGAAACATAGCACATCGGTGGGCGGCCTGGCTGTGACAGCGCGGAGGAAACTGGGAGTGGTGTGCTCTGTCTTATACAGTGCAACCCTCTACAAACTTTTTTTTTTTCGGTACCGGGGATCCAACTTGGGTCCTTGTGCTCGCGCAGCAGACGGCGAAACCACTGAGCTAAATCCCCGGCCCCCTATACAAACCTTTAAAGTACACGGTTTAGTACAATTCCGAGAACACCCAGACAAAAGAGAAAGTGTTAATCCTAATGAGCCCGCCCGGGGACACTTCTATCACTTGAAGCCCAAATCCCAGTGAAGTTCAATAAAGAGCGAACAGACACTGCTCTTCTCTCACCTGGAAAGAGGGACAACACAGTCACCAGCACACCCACCAATTTGTTCACTGGAGAGATATAAAAAAGAACCTGAAACAGATGCAACCAAAATTAAATTAGGAAATCTACGAGGACTTAGGGGTACCACAAAACCCCCCAAAGACAAAACGGGAGGTTCTCTGTGGAGAAGTAACAGTTAATAAATGTACAAGTAATAGCAGAAATCAGCATGACTCAGGCAGTACTCATGAAAGGGCAACTAAACCGACAGATGGCTGGGCCTACTAAAGTGTGACAAGCAGCGTCTCAACCAAATGGTCAAACTGCGTCCCCAGAAGTAGACAAACAGTGGTGACCCTTCTGGGTCACACTCTGAGGACACACCATCATCTGTGTAGCATTCTTGCTAAAGAAAAAGTTTAGTCCCAAGCTAGCTACAGGAAAGCAACCACACAGCTCTAATCCTCTAACACTACTGTGGCACTTTAAAAAGTGCCAAGGCCAGCTGAGCATGGTAGTACACCCTTGTAATCCCAGCACTCTGGGAGGCTGAGGCAGGAGGATCACAAATTCAGGTTTAGCATGGGCAACTTAGTGAGGCTGGGGAGATAGGTCAATTGCAAAGGCCTTGGGTTCAATCCCCAGTAACACATGCACGTGCACACCCAAAGTGCCAATGTCACTAACTTAAAAACAAAAAGAAATGAACAAACAAGGAGGAGGAGTGGGAGATGGTTAAACGGTCTGAGGTTAGAGGGAGCTAGGGATGTAGTATATGACCCTTGACTGCATGCCAGACTGAAACAAGTCAGTTACAGATTTTTATCTCTAACAAAACACAGTTGAGTCCTCACTAGTTTTGCAAGTAAGAATATAGGTAGAGGGCCAGGGATTTAGCCCAGTGGTGCTGCTGCCTGCTTTGCAAGCACGAGGTCCCAAGTTCAATCCCTGATACCAAAAGCAACAAACAAAAAACCACCCCCAAAAAATATAGGTAGGACTTGAGTTCAATACCTGGTAACAACAAAAAAAAAAGTATATAGGTAGAAAATTCAGCCCCTTACCTATTCTTCAAAACTGTAATTTCTTTGTTTTTTTGAGGCAGGGTCTCCCTTTGTAGTCCAAGCTGGCCCTGAACTCAGTATGTAGCCCAGGCAGGCCTCAAACTCACTGTGATCCTCCTGCCTCGACCTCCCGAGTGTTGGGATTATAGGCATGCACTACCACACTCAGATCTAAAACTATAATTTTTATTTTTTTTATTTTTAAATTTTTCTGGGAAAGAATTAAACTAAGGGCAGAATTGTTGAGTTGAAGGTAATGAGCCAGAGTGGACATGGTGCATAGTCCATTCCCTGAGACCCTTCCTACCCCTGCTCCACTGAGCACAGTAACACAGCATATCAAACTGGTCCTGAATCCTGGGATGGCTCCCAACTAGTCTAAACCGGAGGCTGGCAACATTTTTCTATAAGGGTGTGTTGGGAAGTATTCTGTTCCGCAGACCACAGGGGGTTTGTCACAAATACTCATCACTGCCACTACAGAGTGAGAGCAATCATGAAGAGCAAAGGAGTGGGGGTGACTCTTTTCCAGTGAAACTTCACTTACAGAAGCAGTGGCGGATGAGATCTGGGTATGAGGCCGAGCCGGCGGCCCCCACCAATCATGGGAAGTCCCAGGCCTCTGAACTAGAGTGGCCTGGAACCCCAGGGTAAGCCAGTGAGGAAAGGCAGATCTCCGACGGCAGTTAACAACTCAGGGCAGGCAAACAGCCTGCCAGGCCCAAGGGAAGAATTCATATTTAATGGTGTGGGAAGAGGTATTATCTGTGCCACCAGTTATGTCTGAGGAGGTAAACAGCCCAATTACTACTGGCCCTTTCTCCACTACAAGGCGAACCAGGGTCTGGACAAAGCCAGCACTGGGGACTGTACAAGATGAAAACTGAGCACTGTGACACTGTGAAACCACTGGGCCAGCCAACCCCAAAGTTGGAAAGAACTGGTACACTTCCTTTTTATTAAATTAGCTTAAAATTGGGTTTTCTGCTGCCTACTACAAAGACTATCCTGATAACTAAATGTACCATCAAACTGCCTCCAGAAAAAACAAGCAGATTTACATTTCTAAGGCACAGAGTATGTGCTTCAGCTTACACAATTTGACAGGCAAGAAACATCTTGTATTTTATCATTAGTTCCCATATCATGTAATATGTAAGAAATGTCAAGGGCCGGGAATTTAGCTCAGTGGCACCACGCCTGCCTCATAAGTGTAAGGTCCTGAGTTTAATCCCTGGTACAAAAAAAAAAAGTGACAAATAAACCATTCTTCTTTCTGCCCCTTCATGTCTCACCTTTTTTTCCAGAAGAATTAATTTAAATAGGATTAAGACCTACAAAAAGAAAGAACACTGTGTTAAAATAAGAAACTCAGGGCTGGGGATTTAGCTCAGTGGTTCCGCCACCTGCCTTGCAAGCACAAGGACCTGAGTTCGATCCCCGGTAGCAAAAAAAAAAAAAAA